TTTGAAAACAGAAGGGATATTTATACCTATTTTCTAAATCATGGAGGGTACTAATGCTATATGGTGATTATACTCCGTATTATTTTTTGACGAAATAAAAATTTAATCCATAAAAATTGTTCTCTGACACAGTGTCAAACACCCTTTAAGTAGCGTTGGTAATCCACTTCCTCTTTTTAAGTCTTTTTTTCCAAAAGTCTATGCCCTATTTTAGAAAATATGTGCCTTTTTTCAATGCTTTCTCGTTGAAAACATGCACACGTTACGTTCAAAATCAATTAACACTATTCATGCTTTGAAAAACGGGGTTTCAAGATAATTTGTAGTAAAAGATATTTTGAATTTGGAGTTTGTAATTTTAAATGAATATGGTATTTCATCCATGATCCATTTTAATTCGATTCTTTAATTCATGTTCAGCACTTTTCGATTATAATTAATTTTAAATTCAGCTTAGTTTATTTTAATTCGAATCTAGGAGAAAAAATAAAATTATCAGTGCATATAAACCTACTCACAACCACTTAATCAATGTATATGTTGATAGTGATGCAATTTAATAATTAAGGTTTTACTAAAAACCTTAATTATTGTAAAATAAGTAATTATAGAATATGAAAGTAATTAAGCAATAATGATAATATTTTATTTCTTATCATATCTAATATTCTTAATAGATATATAGTTGATTTTATGTTTCATTTTTACTCCAATTTATATTGGAGACTAAAATATGGAATTGGGAATTGGGAAAATCTGGAATTGGGAAATTGGTTTTTTTAAACTTTACATAATTTTTTAAATAAATTAAATAGAAAGAACTCCAAAAGGAGAATTCCACTTTGAGAATTGAGACCAAGGAAAAGTAATTAATCCGTCCGTACACAATAACAACATCAAATTCCGGAGTAAATTAAGCAATGGACCAAAAATTACATGTTCCTGACCAGGTTTTTACTTATAACCTGAAAAAATAAATAGGTCTTAACTACTTATTTTTAAATCAATTTTTTTATTTTTTTCTCGTTTTGATCAAATTATTTACAAAATTATTCCTCATCATTTATGAATATTTTCATAAAAGAATATTTGATTTTTAAGCAACTTATAACTTGAAAACTGTGTATCACCAATCAGCTAATGTAAGATTTGCACGGAATAAGACTAAAATATAGGTCATTTCCCAATGTAGTACTTAAACTTTTTTATTCCCTAAATAAGATTTAATAATGACTAGTAAAAAAGAATAATGTCCAAGTGATGCTGGACATTTAGTTAAATAATGACTAATAGATAATAATCAATGGTCCCACATTGGAAAATAAAAACATATGGTCCTATATTGAGCAAGTCATTATGTTTTAGTCATATTTAAGTAAATTACTCTTAGCTAATAAACACCAGCACACAAACCCTCCATGGCATATATGTAAATTGAGACTCCGCATATTCTATTTGATTACACTCTTTGAATTATTTACAAAATTTTATTTCCTTTAAAGCTATTTTCTTTATAAAATAAGAGTTTATTGCACCAAAACCTCCTTGTGATTTGGTAATTGTACACTGTTGCCCCCTATTGTTTTAAAACTTACGTCGTTGCCTATCATGGTTCTGATATTGCTACACCAACGCTCATCTAGACTAAAATATCCTTCGAATATTATATGAATAGCTCCACTCGCACCTATCGTTTTGAAAATTGGCACAAATACCCCCTATTTTCATTATTATTTTTCTTTTTTCTACTATATTTTTCATAATTTTTTTAAATTTCTTTTTTAAAATTATTCTTTATATTAATTTAATAATCAAATTTTTTTGTGTTTGCAATAAAAATCAATTAAATTACAAGAGTTAATGTGCACTGCATTTGTCTCAAATTAAATATTTTCTTCTTTTGTCCAAAAGAGATCTTTATTGGTTCATTTTCATGATATGTAAATCAATGAAACACTCTTTTTTCACTAAAGCTCATTTCTCTCATTTCTGTTCAATAATTTTATAGCGTTTCTTTTATTTTAATCAAAATAAAAATAAAAGAAAAAAATAGAATAGAAAATAAAGAAAAGGAAACATATATGAAAAAATACTTTTACAGGATAAGGAAAATTAAGCTATGAAGGAAATCTTTTGCACAACAGTCCAAAAAATGTTTTATATATATATATATGTGTGTGTGTGTGTATATATATATATATGTATGTATGTATGTATGTATGTATGTATATGTGTGTATATATATATAATTAAGTATATATTAAAAAGATCAACAAATATAATTAAGTATATATTAAAAAGACTTTACCCAGTATTCTTTTGTTCGTGACATATTCAAAAAGATAAAAACTTTTTTAGAGAAAAAACAAAAATATTTAATTTAAAAAATGAAGTATATGTTATATTTTTATTTCAAACACAAACTTTTTTTTATTTTTTAAAACTTTTTTAGAATGTAGGTTTAAAAAATAACTTTTCATTATTTCACACTCAAACATTTTTCTTCTCTTTATTAAAAAAAGAAAAGAAAAAAGAAAAACAATAAAGAACAAGGAGAGGAGGCGTCAATGCCTATTTCCAAAACCATAGGGGACATCGGAGAAATTCACATAATATTTAAAGGATACTTTATCCAGAAGGACATTGGTGTAACAATATTAAAACACAAAGGGCAACAACGTAAGTTTTGAAACCATGAGGGGTAGCGATGCATATTTGCCAAACCACATGGGTGTTGGTACCATAAAGTCTATAAGTTGGTATCAAAATTATACTAAATACAACTTACATGTTGAATCAAAATAAGATGTGATTAAAATACTTTATTTGCAAAAGTTATTAGGATACTAAAACAATACTCTCTCCAACCCTCTAGCTAGGTTCTTCCAATACGATGTTTGATCAAATTTATTTTCAATTTAATTCATATAAATGTTTTTGTAAATAAAAAATAAAATTTTCGTATTCAAAAGTTACTTTAAAATATTTACAAAATAAGCGATGACAAAAGTATTTTATTTTATCAAGTACTAGTAATTAGTGAAAACAAGTATAAAAAAGAATAAAATTTAAGATGTAAATAGTAATTGTGAATAACCTAGAAGGAAAAAGGTGTTAAAGAACCAATTCAACCAAAAACTCGAGCTTGTGATTGTGGTCTATGAAAAAAATTTTATAGTGAAATTTGCACTAAATAGGACTAAAACATAATGACTTTCCTAATGTAGGACTTAAACTTTTTTATTCCCTAAATAGGACTTAATAATGACCTAGTAGAAAAAATAATGTCCAGTAATGATGGACATTTAGTTGAATAATGACTACTTGATAATGACCAAAGGTCCTACATTGGAAAATAAAAACATATGGTCCTATATTGGGAAAGTCATTATGTTTTAGTCCTATTTAAGTAAATTACTCTTTTTTATATTCTAACTTGCCCCCTCACATGTAGCGTATTTTTTTAGACTTGCACGTGAAAACTTAATTTTTTTAAAACTATGTGGCGCTAAGTTTCGAATCCGTGGTCTCCTAATTAACACGACTCAGATATTATATCAAGAAACCAATTCAACAAAAAACTTAAGCTTGCGGGTGTGATTAGGATTTTATTTATATTCTAACAAGAGAGAGTATCAAATTAATCAATTTTGGGACGGAAGAATTCTGATAATGACTCAAACATCAATGACAATTAGCTCTTATTATACTCCGTATTAGATTATAAAAATTGTTCATTAGCTTATGTCCATAAGTTCAAACTTTTGGTTGAAATGTTTCATATGTGTCAAATATATCATAACTTCAAATATTACCCATCGCTATCACTCAATTGAAAAATATGTGATCACAACTCTTAATTGATTTACCTAAAAAAAGACTACATGTGTAAAAAAAGAATAGAAGTGTTTTTACTTTCGTGATCGTAAAGTGGATATGGACTCTCTCACATTTTAATATATTAACTAGTCAATCTTTTCCTTTTTGTAAAAGACTCAATTCTTACATGATTTTTATAATTAAGGTTCCTAAAATAATATGTACCCTAAGACTAAGACCATGTAAAAAAATTTTAAATAGAAAAAAATATAAAGTCCGAGCCGACGTGTTCCGTATTTGCTCATCAATGTGTTGTCCACTAAGAATTTCCGAACAAATTAATGGGCCCATCGAGCTCAGACCTTGGGCTCGACCCGTCCAATTCGATCAGGTGACATAACAAACAAAATCCAGTACATATATTTGAAGTTCCCAATGTATATTCTAACCAAGAGTATACTAATCATCAAAATGAAAAATAAATAAACAAAGCTAAATTTTGAGTTGATTTTTTTTGAAATTTAAAAATTGGTAAAAACATAAAAAAATACTCCTTTCATCCAAAAATGATTTACCTCTTTACTATTTCGGTTTCTCGAAAACTTTTGTTTGTTTGCATATTTTTATTGATCATTTAATAAAATAAAATATTATTTTCACTTCTTATTTTGTAGAAATTTTAATATAGCTTTTATATATGTAATTTTTATTGTTTATTTCTACAAAAATTTATAAATAAAATCATTTTTAAAGTCATGCAATTTTTCACATTGACCGAACATGGTAATTTATTGGGACAGAGAGAGTAAAAAAATTATATTTAAAAACTACTTCAAAAATTTAGGTAAATAAGAGCTGACATGGATGTTTAATTTTATCAAATAATTAATACAATAATGCAAAAAAACTAAAAATTTCTATAAATTAAAATAATGAAATGTGTAAATTATTTTAGAATGAGAGAAGTAATTCATATTAATTATGAAATAGACCGCGTGTATTGGACTTGGTACACCTACCATACACATTTAGGTCATTCTAATTTACAATTTAATTCTCAAAATATTTTAATGAAAAAAAAAACAATTTCTAGATTAATTACCATTAAAGTCAAAGTAATTATTTCAAATAGGGATTAGGAGGGACAAATACGCATATTGTGACGCTCAACAACATGGTCAAGTGACGCACTATTTACAAAATGTGCTAAAATTTTGCTCTATTTAAACCCCTTCCTTGTCACATTACACAATATATTTCACCACTCATATATTGATTTATTTATTTATTACACAAAACAAATTAATTAATAACAATAGAAATATGACTATCGCCAACTTGCCCGGAGAATGGCCGGAGCCGATCGTCCGAGTCCAGTCGCTGGCGGACGCCGGCATCTCCGCCATCCCTGAGAGATACATCAAGCCTCCCTCCGACCGCCCGTCGCCGCCGCCGCCCCAAAACCCCGCTTCCCGCCACCCCATTGTCGGGGACGACGACATCCCGTTGATCGACGTCGGCCCTCTCTTCGCCGGCGACGCTGCCGCGGCGGCCGCCGTGGCGGCCCAAGTCACGGAGGCGTGCCGGAAGTGGGGGTTTTTCCAGGCGGTGAGGCACGGGGTGGAGCCGGAGGTCATGGACAGCGCGCGGGAAGTGTGGCGGGAGTTCTTCCACCAGCCGGCGGCGGCGAAGGAGGCGTACTCGAACTCTCCGGCGGACTACGTCGGCTACGGCAGCCGTCTGGGGGTGGAGAAAGGGGCGGTTCTTGATTGGAATGACTACTTTTTCCTTCATTGTCTTCCTTCCGGCTGGAAAGACCATAGCAAATGGCCTGCCACTCCCACTCCTCTTAGGTACTCTGAGTAGAGTATTTTTCTTTTTCTACTCTCTACTTCCAAATTGATTTTCTCATTTATTTTTTGTGGTCAATGTTAAGTTTGACGGTAATTATGGAAAAAATATACTCCTTCCGTCCTATAATGTTCTTCCCACACGCTTTTTACACGGTCAAACTTTAATCACTTTCTTTACCTATTTTCATTAGGTATTTGATAAAATAATATAGTCTTGTCACCACTTGTTTTGTAGAACTTTAGATGTAGTTTAATTATATGATTAATTATAAAAAATTAATTATGATTAATTTTGATAATATATAAATAAAGATACTAATTTTCAAAATGGTGCAACAAAGAACATAATAAATCAAATAGAAAAAACCATGGAGGGAGTTCATTTTTCAAATAAAATATAAAAAAAATTAAAAACTTAAATTTGAACTATTATTAGTTGTCGTTTAAACAAAATTAGTTTATAAAAGAGTATAATTCAATCCGTTGGAGATATGACCCTTTTTTCTGTCTCGTCAAGGACACTTGAATTCTCTGGATCAACCACGCCATCTTCATGAGCCTTTTGATAAGTTGTACATTATCGAAGTTTCAATTATCATCTTTTGAATAATTTTTTAATGATATGCATTAATTTTGAAAATGTTAAAGTTAAACATTATCGTTAGAGAGGTAGTATTTTTCAAGGAGTACATGCAAGAACAAAAAAATCAATAAAATCTCAAAAAAAGAAAAGAAAATTAGATATAAGGAAGGAATGCGTGTGTGTGTGTGTGTATATATATATATATATATATATATATATATATATATATATATATTTAAAACTTTAAATTTACTAAAAATAAAGTAGAGAGAGTTTTTTTTATTAAAAAAAAGAGTACATACATGCTATTCCATATTTTATTAGCTAAATTATCACATAAGATAATGAAAATTTTCAATTCGGTGATTAGATAGGAGGTCTTTCCCTCTTTTGCGTATAAATGCATGTGGTAATACGGAGTATAATATATATTGAGTATATAAAAATGACAAAATATTCCCAAAAAAGAAGGTGACAAAATGCTTCGGTTGGATCCTTTCCTATTATTGTTTCTCCTATTAAGGAACTTTTTGATTTAAACACCAAAAGGCATATCAGATAAATAAATTCTTGAATTGACTAAGTATTTTGGCACTATATCTTGCTTCATAAAAATCAAGCCTCTTTAAACTAAATTTACACATTTTTAGAACTTTTTTTGGTTGGGAATATAAATTTACACTTTAAAATAAATTTACACATTATATATATATATATATATATATATATATATATATATATATCATTATTTTACATATATTTCAATTGCATATTTTTTCCTTTGCGATATTCAATTTTGGAACAAATAAAAAAAATAATAAATGATATATATTAATGACAATGATGATATCTGAAAAAGGAATAACGAGTGCTTAAATAAATAGACATAATTATATACTTCCTCCATCGTTAAAATCTGTCTTCTTTCTTTTTTCATCCGTCCTTAAAAACTTTTTTCATTTCTATTAAAAAGTTACTTTACCCATACCGATTCTTAAAATACCTATCACATCAAATCTATTCACTACTAATATATATGCATCAAATTCTACTTTTACTCATCACATCCAAGAATATTTTTAGAAAACCAAAACGAATTATATTACTCGTAGTTTTTTTTCTTTTTTTACCGGGAATATTTCGTTATTTAATATTTAAAAAATAGAAATTATATTCCTGAAGTAACGAAGCTTAAAAAATTTTTCAACCCAAGAGTATTTAAATGTCATTCCTTAAATAGTTATATACAAATTATATTACTATGTAGTTTCTTTTGTTTTTTTTTCTAAAAATAAGAATATACTCCGTATATAAAAGACAATATTAAAATTTGGTAGGGCCAACCAGATAAATATTACTCCGTACTAATTTTCTTTCAATTTTCAAATATGCTCGTCTAGCTTGTCTATCTCACACTAACGCCGTTTACGTGACGCAGCATCAATTGTTTTTTAATTAAAACACTAATTGTGTTTTTTTACAAATATACACCCCAACTTGTTTAGGGTATAGTATGAACTATGAAGGTATGATATTCCTTTTGTAAGATATTATCTTCTACCCACAGTTAATTTCAACAATTTAATTTCATAAGAAAGTTGCAAGACCAATATTTCGCTATTAAAAATATATAAACCGTGAAATATAAAGTTTACTTCGTAACGTATAAAAAGGAAATGAAAAATTAATTGTGACACGGAAGAAATATTTATGAACCGTAAAGTGTGATGATATTTTCAAAGGATTTACAATGTCCAAAATCAATCTGGTCTTAAAAATCTTTACTTGCATTTTCTTTTTGGTGTGTCAAATGACATTTTTCACCCACTCTACTTTTTTTAAAGTAATGATGGGCATATGAGTCACAAAAGTTTATAATTTAGTTTCATAATCTGGTCTTAAAAATCTTTACTTGCATTATCTTTTTTGGTGTGTCAAATGACATACTCCGTAATTTTTTACTTTTTAATACAGATTATTTTTTTTAAACTCTTTAAAAACCAAACAGTTAAATCAATTTTTATTGGAACAAATGAAGTATAGATTATTTATTATAGAGAATGAAACATTATTCAACTCAAATAGTATATGTGGCATTTAATAATGATGACCATATTTAATTAATGTTGTCATTAGGGACGTGGTTGAGAAATACTCGGAGCAAGTTAATAAGTTTTGTGGAAAACTAATGAAGATTCTGTCGACAAACCTCGGATTAGAGGAAGGATTTCTACAAGATGCTTTTGGAGGGGAGAATTTTGCGGCTTGTTTGAGGGTCAATTTCTACCCAAAATGCCCTCAGCCCGACCTCACCCTCGGGCTCTCCTCTCACTCCGATCCCGGGGGCCTTACCGTACTTTTGCCGGACCCAGATGTATCCGGCCTCCAAGTCCGGCAAAATGGCAACTGGGTCACTGTCAAACCGGTCACCGGAGCGCTCATTGTTAACATTGGCGATCAAATTCAGGTAATCTTACGACTTATTATAATCTTAATTAGTTTCGTTCACTTGTATTAGAAGTCGCGACGAAATACGTAACATTAATAAAACATGGATGGGAGGTCATCACATGGTCGAATCTCAATGAAGGCAAAAATTTTATTATTTAATAAAAAAATGTAAAAATAAATATTGCTTTGTAATAGATTTATTATTATTAGAAAAAATACAGAAAGGCTAGAAACATTACTCCATACTGCGGCCTCAGTAACATTTTTGTCAAAATGCTAGAGGGGTCGGGGACTGAATAGTTGTGCATTAACACTTTTTAGACACATTAAAAAATGGATGAATATAGACGTACTTTATGTCTACATTCATTCACTTTTTAATGTATCTAAAAAGTCATAATGGACAGCTTAGTATGGAATGAAAGGGAGTAAAAATTTAAATTGTGCACAACAAATTACAATTTTATTTTCCATTTAATTTTTTTTTAAATAATATGAATTTGCATGAGTGGCTGATATTGACAGAACATTGGTAGATGGAGACATTGAATATATGATATGATATACGGATTATATTGGCTAAAATTATCAGTCCACATGACTCACTCTATATAAATAGAGCAATGTAAACGTGCGAATATTTTGGTAATAAATTTATTATTGATAGAAAATTAAAACATGTTGCATTAATTATGTCTTGGGAAATTTTTTATATATGTACATAAATTTTCCCTGCCAATTTAAAATATTTTGAAACTGATTGATATTTACTGTTTGTTTTTTTAATACCTAATTAAAGAAAATTTAATTAAGAGGTCGAGCATATAATATGTTTATGCATGGATCTACTCTCTCACAATCCCATAATAAAAGTCCCCTTGGGATAACAATGATAGACTCAATTCATTTTCAATTTAATTAATTCATTTGCTTAAATAACGAGTAATATTATATGCTTAGAAATAAATAACATCAAAAACTCTAAAAATAATATATAAAATGTCATGACAATATTATTTTAATAAATAAAATAAATAAAGTATGAATAACAATCTTTTGATACCAGACATGGATGTCATTATATGACATCAGGTCATTTGAGGGTCCGCAATGTTTCCTCTCATTCCGAACTAGGTCCTACCACCTATCTACAAATCTCCCTGCATGTCATCCTCTTCAAATATTTCATTATTTTCCACTGGAAAGACTGAGATTTGGAGGGGTAAGAATCGCTTCAAACCTCAACATTGCATTGTAATGGAACGCGTCTTAGTGTTATATTATGACATCGAATCGAAACCAGTGTCAAAAGAACCACGAATATGGAGTATATAAGATGCAGAGATGTATGCATATGAACATGGTGTGTGGCATTCATTTCTATTGTCAATTCATGCATGCCAAGTTGATACAAGATGAAGTAGTTGCATTGTCTCCATCTTCATCTACATTCATTCAATATAGGCATAAATAGATATAATGATTCTATGCACACACTCTCATACCTTGCCTCCCCTGCCCTCAATGTCTAGGTTTAATCCCATTTTGTGAAATGCATATATGTAAACAACCTAAATATGCCCTTATTTAATTTATTGTTGTCCCAAATGCCAATGCAGGTCTTAAGCAATGCCGTATACAAAAGCGTTGAGCACAGAGCAATTGTGAATTCAAACCAAGAACGTGTTTCGTTGGCCTATTTCTACAATCCTCGAGGAGATTTACTAATTCAGCCTGCACAGAAGTTGGTGACACCAGAGAAGCCAGCATTGTATGCGCCCATGACATTTGACCAATACCGTCTTTACATAAGGACCAAAGGACCCAAAGGAAAAGAACAACTTGAAGGATTTGGAAAAAAACATCAAGGATAATATTGGTCATTGTATATATGAGATGGGTATCTTATATATTTATATATAGAATAAATGGATGATTAACAAAATGGGTATGAGCAATAATGCTCTGCAAATTTACTTTCTTATCCTTGTTAGGTGATACTATTAGTAACATTTTAGTACTTTTTTGGCACATGTGTTGAAGAAGTACTATCAAGTTTACTAAAAAGTATTATTAATGCTCGCCATGAGAGATGTTTTAGTTATGGCGAAGTTATATTTTACAAGGGTAGAATGGTAATTGTGGATGTTGTTGCTCATTCATTTGAATATTTGGTTTAACTTTACTTCTGCATGTATAGGCGTGTCCGGCCACTATTGCAACACATGTGTATCTGTTCTTTATTTTTATTAGTGTTTCCTTATAAATAAGAAAAACTTAGAGCACTGGTAATGGTCATGAAGCCTCGGGGCTTCAAACCGGGGCTTCAAACTTTCTCTCTCTGCCACGTCAGCTTTAACTTACACCCAAAATTCACTGGAAATGGTTTTGAAGCCCCGGGGCTTCAAACTGGGGCTTCAAACCTTCATTTTTTACATTTTTAAATATACATCTTCTAAATTTAAATTTATAATTTTAAATTAATTTATTATTTTATTTAATCGCAATGACACTATTGCATAAAAAAAATTAAATTCATTAATAAAAAATCTTACATTCATAAAAAAAACATTAAAAAAAATTACAATCATTAAAAAAAATTACATAAAAAAACAACAGTACAAAGAAATCACTAATTATTCGAACGACTAAATATATGCTCGATCAAATCCGCCGTTAGTGCATTGTGAATCTCTCGGCTTCGAATTTCTTGGCGGTTGCGTCGTTTCTTTTCTTCGGTGATTTCTTCGTACATAGGCACCTCGTCGTCCGGGTTGTATTGACAAATCGCAGACCCGTTATCCTCTATGATCATATTATGAAGAATAATACATGCGTACATGATATTCCTCATTTTTGTCTGAGAATAACATTTCGACGGACGATCTAGAATGTGCCACTTAGCCTTCAAGACCCCAAAGGCTC